CTGCCTCGCTCAAGAGCATCGTGGAACGGCAGAGATGGCTCATCCTGTGGAACCAGCACAAGTCTGTTAAACCAGTGCTGTTCTGCAGCTGCTGACAGCAGCACTCAGGCAAGTGAATGTTCTGGTGTATTGTACTGAGAATTCAGGGCCGGTGCAATTTAATTTGAGTGATCTAGGAGCTGTTTTTAAAGAAGCAAGGGAAAAGCTTCACATTTGTTATTCACTCAATTTGATATAAAACATCTAACTCAGCAGATGTCTTCAGCATTGTTTCAAAGGGCTTTCCATCAACACGAGTGCTGGGGGTAAAGTGTTACCTCCACCCATCCTGTATCTCTGAACTTGACTCTTGGGGTCTTCAGGCTTTTCTCATAGCTGTAAATGGAGGCACAGTGTGCCTCAACACCTGAAGTTAATTTTTACTATGAAGTAATTAGTGATAATTGTTATTTCAGAATAAGAAAATATACTATCATGAATTAGACTCCAGGCTCATTTACTGTCAAGCCTGGGATCCTGCAATTACTGATGTAGTTGCCCATGGACAAAAAGGACAGAAACAAGTGTGTGTAATATGAAGTGGAGATAACATACTGGTGCATGTGAGAATCTGTTAACAACAATTTTCTGTTCCTTTTTTTGACAGTCTGGGATCTGATTCTTGTCACACTCCACATGGGCTTTGTGTTACTACTGTAATTCAAGTCTTACCAAATCAGAAACTTATATGTGCCATGAAGGCATTTACTGCTTGAATATATATATATATATATATATATATATATATACATATATATATATATATGTATGCATGTTTACTTTAGAGCACGAATCTCAAAAGAGGAAACAGTGCTGAATTTAGGTAAGCAATAAAATATGTCTTCTAGGCACGTGCATTTCATGACAAATCTCACTCTGCATGGACCCTGTGGTGGGAAGGCAGTGTGCAGTTAGCGGCTGCTGTGCTGAATGGGGCAGCCACTAGCGCACTGCCACCTGCTGCAGGGACAGACTGCCGCTGTGGGGAGGCGGGCACTTTGGTCGGAATTAGAGATCGGATTTCCAGCAGTGTGCGGTGGGGTGGCAGTGTATGTTAGCTGGTTGAAACTCTTAACATCAGCTAACATGCAGTTGCTATCCTGCTCCACATATCTTTAGCATCAAACTGGAGAGCTGCTATTTTTATGTGTAGAATCTTTTGCATCATCTTGATTGATTTTGTTTTGTTTTGTTTTGTTTTGTTTTAATTTTATATGTATTTTTGGCTCACTTTTGGAATAATATTCCCGTTATCCAAAGAACTGAGAGAACTTTTGACTAATTCAGTCTCTGATTTTCATCTGCACATAGATACCAAGGCAGCAGGAGTTTAGAAATACTTGAAAGAGATAGGCAGTTTGTTCAGTAGCTATTAGTTCAGTTAATTATTAGTTCAGTAGTAATTTGAAACAACTTTAAACTCTCTGGAAGTTTTCTTAAAACTGAATAATGATTTAAATGATTTTAAATTTTTTTTCTTAAATTCTGTTTAGTGATATTTGGCAAATGCAATCAATGTTATTTTAGTTTTATTTTTAATGAATAATTAGAAATTTTCACTAACTACCTGAAGGCTACAACTGAAAAAGTAGTTACATTTCCATTCTATGGAAAAAAAGAGAAGTCCATTTTAGAGTTTTTCTTCTCCACTTGCTTCACAAAGTAACTTCATTTGTGACCATAGATGTCCTAGAAATCTGCATGTAGTCTCATCAGGAAGCACTATTTGAATAGGACATAGTATTATTTCTCAGGAGGATGTGGGCTGGGAGCAAATTGATTCATTGAATCAATTGAACCCTTTTGATTCATGTTACACTGCAAACTTCTATCACACACACTGCCACAGGCAACAAAATACTAAGTTTATCCTCATCTTGGCATTTTACAGAAGGCAAAAAAAATCTGTTTATTATAGGAGCACACAAAAGAAGCAAGTAATATGCCTTGCAAATCTTCTAAATGAAGATCTGTGAAAAGAAATAGGAGCAATGTTTGTGAAGCTCTGCAGTTAGTGTCCACCTAGCGCTGTGTGTGGTGATTAGGCAGTGTATTGTTAGTTCGCTGCACTTCATACACCAGCAACTAACTACACTGCCACATTAGCACATCACTGCGTCACTATTGAGACAGGAATGTAAAGACTGTTATTACAAATACCTCATCAGTTCCTTAGCTGGTGTGGAGCCCTATGCCAGCTGAAAGTAGGTTTGCTAGGTTATGCAAACTGACGGAATTGATAAAAATATGTTTAACTGTGTTTTACACAATTATGTGGCTAATTAAACTAGCTATGCTGCTTACTTAAGTCAATAACTTAAGTAAAAACTTCAGGTTTGGGTCCCACGTGAATGTTTTCTTATGTCTGTTAGTCTTCGGAACATTCATCAAAATAAGGACAGTAGAACCACGGATGTGGTTTTGGCACTCTGCTTTTTCTTTACTGCTGTAGGTCCTACTTCAGGTGAAGAGGTGTGTGATTCCAGCTCAGGTGAAGCTCACTTAAATGGGAACTGGCAGAAACACAATGGTTATGATTCACTGAAATGTACTTCCTTCGATGAAAAAAATGATTGAAAATGAGCAAAAGTGAGTAGGGAAAGAAATATCTGATGAACTGTAGTTAGTGTTGATGTTAGTGAATTCCACACTGAATTGGTGACACTTAGGTGTAAATAAAATAATCTTGAAATCATCTAGTGCACTGAAGTAGGTGACATACAGTAGTATGGCCTCACTTCCTGGAATCTGTGGCTCTGAAAGCAATCCTGCTTGCTCTGAGGGAACATTGTTTGGCCTGAGGACTAGGACAAAAGGAGACAAAGAATAAGCAGAGAAGAATCATAGAATCATGGAGTGGTTTGGGTTGGAAGGGACCTTTAAGATAGTCTAGTTCCAGCCCCCTGCTATAGGCAGGGACACCTTGCTCTAGACCAGGTTGCTCACAGCCCCATCCAGCCTGGCCTAGAACGCTTCTGGGGAGTCCCCTATTTCTCCTTCTTTACTATGTAAAGAATCAGGCTCACACTCAAAGGATATTCATTGCAGAGGTACATTTAAAAGTTTTCAACTACAGATGGCAGTTTATTCTATATGTATATTTTGTCAATAAATGAATGGGAGGAGCTTAATTTCTAAGATTTTTTTTTCTTTATTTCTTTCCCCATCAATCCAAGCATCGCAAAAACAGCACTAACACATTTAGGAGTAAAATGTCCAGGCCATCTGTTAATCGTGATCCAGAGGCAAAATGTAGGAACCAAGAAAAAAACAGGAGCAAAAATCACATAACTAGAGAGTTGAGATGATAAAAGGCCAAAACCAGGACGGAAATCCAGATGGCAGTAGGAACAAGAGACAGATCCAAAGCAGGGAAATAAAATAGTTCTGGTTTGATGAGGAACCTGACTGCATAAGAAAAACTGTATATTGCTTTGTAAATTGGAAAGTCATGTTGATAGGAATACTGATCATGCGTAGAGGCTGTTCAGACTGGCAGGAACAATATCCAGCTAAACAAGCTGCCCAGGGCCAGAGTTCAAAATTTGTCTGCGCAATTCTTTGCACACTTGTCATTTTTTTGGCTTTACCATGACAGAGACAGGTAAGGTGATATCATGGGCTATAGTCTGTTCCCTATAGGAAGTGCAGTGCCTTTGTCTTTGATTGGAGGAGCGAGCATGAGAAAAGGAGCTGGTCTTACTGACTAAAAAAAATTTTTTTTGGGAAGTCATGCTACAGTTTCCAATATTACGTGAATTAATAGGGAATTGTCCAAACGGTGACAGAGCTGGATTTAAAATATATCCACCCCAGTGTAAATTTTATTGGAAATATGAACTGTCAGCTAAATGATAAACAGTGGAAGTAAAGAGTATATGTCAAATCTAAGGAGTGAGGGAGGCATAGAATAGGATATTATAGATGGAATTTAATAAACCTTAACATTTATGGACTTGGCTCTGTTAATCTTCTAAGGGCAGTTTTAGCTGAAGTTGGTGGGATTATTTGAGAATCCAACAGACAGTTTTTTATCTGTTAATAGTGCTTGTAATATAGTATATAGTTTTATAAGCAATATCTTATATAAACCATAAGTGGCTATTTACACAAATATGCTTTCAGGTAACTGTGCTGAATTTTGAACATTATCTATAAATTTGTGCTTGCATAACAGTGTTCTAACTTGCTTCCTATTTATTTGCCTTTTCAAATCTGTGTAAATCTTATAGATAAGGATGCTTTATTTTTACCAAGAATGGTTTTAAGAATGTATTATAGTACTGTTTGAACTGGAAGGGACCTTTAAAGGTCATTTATTCCCACTCCCCTGCAATGAATAGGGACTTCTGCAGCTTAGTCAGGCTGATCAGAGCCTGGTCCAGTCTGACCTTGAATGTCTCCAAGGATGGGATTTCCATCACCTCTCTGGGCATCCTATTCTAGTACCTCACCAACCTTGTTGTAAAAAACCTTCTTCTTCTTAGTTCTGAGATGCTGGTTTCTCTCACTTCTGTTCTCTCAGCTCTCCTTTAAGACTTAGACAGCTGGAGCAGGGTCTTTATTTCTCTTTACGGTCTCGATCAATTAATTTACTTCAATTCATTCTTTCAGTCAAAACATTTGGCAATTTGAACTAGAACATTGGAACAGAACTGGAAATGGTTTTGTAGTTACATGCTGGAGTGGGAAAACTGCAAGAAGAGAAGGCATGAATCTTTGTCTCCCTTTTCAGCTTCTGTTTGGAGGCTTATTCTGGTAGGTGGCTGGGGAGCATTGTATTGGACAGCCTCAGAAATCTGTGCTAGCTGCTGTCTTTTAGAATACTGTGCTGTTGATTTGTGTTGCTCTTTAAATCCTACTGTAAGCACTCATATATATGCACAAAGGCCCTACCTGCATCCAGGTCAGAAAACTGGAAATCCAGCAAATGAGCTAGTAGCCAAGACCTTCTACTGCAGTGCAAATGTATGGAGAAGGCTAAAGAAGACAAAAGTATTGCTGAAAAGGTGAAGTGAATCAAAATACACACAAAGCAAGCAAAGAAATATTTTTGCATCTTTTACTTCTAATAATATTATTTTCTATGTACAGTTTTTTACAACTAAATTGACAGCTTCACAATTCAGACATTTTCATCTGTCAATATTATAAAGCTGGTATGGTCAGCTGCATTTGTCTCTATAAACCCTAATATGATGGCTCTCAGTTCCACATCTTTCAGTCAAACGGTTATGTATAAATGGAATATCAAAACTTATTTTCACTGGCACATGGAAAATGATTTTTTTTTTGGTACAAATACTGAGTAATTCATCACCAAACCTCTTCTTTTTAGCTGTTTGCCTACTTACGACAATTATAATTAGCTCTTATTAGCAATTTAAAGAACTGTATGAAAACTGAAGGTCCGTTCCTGCAGTGTTCTGATTGCCTTGCCATTTTCAGTAATCTCAGTGGTTCTTAAGGCTGTTGCAGAAGTCATCCCAACATTAATTGACATAGTGTAGCTGAAGATACTAACATCAAAAAGAAAAAAACATCCCCTGATTGTTTTTCTTCTAGCAGCATTTCCCAGGAATGTAGTAAGGCTGTTCATCTGTGCCACTGAATGGATTCACAGAGTGAACGGTTTTTCAGAGGTCTTCTCTTTTTTTCATTATGATCTGTCTAATTAACGATGCTATTGCTGGCTTGATACTTTCTATCGACTCTTCAGGTCTCCAGAATTTTACAACTTTACCCTCAGGACTGACAAGATATTTCCAGAAATTCCAGCGAGGTTCTTTCTTTGAAGAATCTGTAAGAATGGCATAAGATAATTTTAGTGACGCCCTTTCTCTTGTAATTGTTTCATTATCCTGCAGTGATTCTACATATATTCGTTTTGAACTATATTAGTAATGTTATGACTGTAAGAGGACTCGGTGATAATCAGTGGGTATGATGGTGTAAGAGATTATTCTTTTACGCGATTCTTGCTTCTTTCCTATCTTCTCTATTGCCCTTCTTTCCTTCCCCGTCTCCCTGATTAGGATTTATAATAAACTGGTTGGACCAACATTTGAACCATTGTTTCTCATGCCAGGTATACAGATATTAAAAGAACCTCATCTCCCTCCTATAAATTGGAGTGAGACAGACGGAAATTCTGACCCAGCTAGTAACCATATCTTTGAAGACTTGTTTTATCAAGAATCAGTCTTTAGGTGACATAATCCCAACTCTAAATACTCTTTCAGTGATTATTAATGTATAAGAATATCTTGAGTACAAATGCACAGGGGATGGAATGATGATGCTACAAATGTTTCACTGGTCCAGCAAAATGTCTTGCTGATGCTATGAAAGTAACAAGAAGTAGTTGTGTGAAGGCTCTGACACCATGTTCTACTGCCAGTGAATTCTTTTTTGCATTGAGCTGTTAGTGCTGGAAAAATGCTAGCTAGAAGTCACAGTCAGGAGATGTAGCATGAAGATGTTCAGCCTTCTGAATGTCAAGACAAGCAAATGAAGGACAGTTTCCTCTTTAACTGAAGATGCACAGTAATTTAATATGAACAAGTGTGATTCAGAAAGGAAGAAGTTGTTATTTCAAAATGTGTGAGCATCGAAGTATCTTTCTCCCTGTATGTTAGAGTACTGAATGTGTGAATATAGCAGACCTGGTTCTGTATTATTATCTGACACTGGGAGTTATTATCTGGGTCCAGTGCCATCCAGCTCTAGCACCTACTTGCCCTTGTCTTCTCTGTAATCAGAAGAGAGGCATCTCCAGACTGCATTCAGTAATTCCACTAAATCAAGGGGCAATTCATAACAGTAAGGGTTTGCCTGATATATTTAGTGATTTGCCTAGGAGGAGATAGGAAGAAATGCAATTCAGATGACAACAGCAACTACTTAAGAGTCTCCTAAAAGAGGAGGAGCATGACAGTAGTTTTCAGGAATGTACGGGAAAAAGAAATGGGTTTAAGTGGCTTAAGACATTTCATTTAAATGTTGATACAGTTTTCTGACAAGAGGAGCTGTGAAGAACTGGAATAGAGAGAGAGGTACCTGCATCTCTCATAGGACTACTGTGATTATCTGGAGAAGCACCTGTATCTTGGTAGCTACAGACATTGGCTTGGTATTAGCTTATGTAGCTGTGATCCCGTTTGTGGGCAGGAAGATGCAGTACATATTTGGGCCTCCTCCTTCCTCATTTTCTAGATAAAGAGATGTTAGAGAGAACAGCTATGTTCTAAATATCCTTCTTTTCATAATATCCGTTTTTAGTATTGGTCAAAGATGTGGCCAAAATTCAGGAGAAACAGAGGCTTTGTGAGGTTTTTGGACAACTGAGCAAAATTTCATGTTGCTTGTGAGAGTGTGAGCACCTAAGTCAGCAAGTGCTTTCTGCAACAGTACTGCATAGTGTTTGTGAAAGTGGGATTTATAGGTTGGGTCCTGAAGCTCACAAGACAAATTAATGCATTAGTGGTTATATATCCTACAGTGTGTAGGTTACAGTACTTACAAGCAAGACATATGAGTCTATGCTAAAGGAGGATTTTCTCATCTGCATGTTTTTATGTTAAATTTTCCAGTAATATTAAGGCATCCTTAGTTATATTTTTCTCTGTAAAAAAATAAAATGCTTTCTAACAAAAGTAATGTAATCTGACATAGGATTTTGTAGATGGTTCAGACCTTTGAAACATCTACATCCATCACTGTATGTTTCTATCGAGGTTGGTCACAGTAAGATATTTTATTGTCAATGAGGAGAAATGGATGCATTCAGGGTACAGCTCTTTTCACTCTTCTTTTTTTTTTTTTTTTTTTTTTAATATCCTCATTAAAATGAGATAAGTTGTGTGCACGAAGAATGCCTTTTTTTCTCCATAGACTATGAAGACAAGTAATGTATGCTCAGACTGGGCCTGCTAAACTCCGACTGGAGTTGAAGAAGAATACCAGTAGAAGGTAGCTCAGTGCAGGAAATAAAATAGTTACCTATTAAAAATTTAAAGGCAGGCTCTGCTTCTGATCCCAGGATCTTGATTTTGTGGAAAACAGGGAAGGTTACTCCGTAGTTCCCTTTGGCAAAAGCCTCTATTTCCTGGCTTGAGCCAGGCTCTGATTCTCCGAACTGATTGCAGGGGAAGGCCAGCACAGTGAAGTGGGAGGGACCAAACTCCCTGTGTAGATCTTGCAGAGCGATGTAATTTTTGTCTGTGTGTTGGCAGTAACTCGCCACGTTTACAACCAAAGTTGCCTTTGGAGAAATAAAGTGAGAACACTGAGAAAGAAACCGGAGATGGCATAGAGATTTCATTAAGTCTTAACACGAGATATCCCCCTACTGTTGCAGTGTTGTTCCTGCCTGGGAGCTAGACATAATTTATCTGATCATTATTTCTTTAATCTGACAAAATAATAGCAGTTGAAGCATTTACTTTGAGATATCCTGCTTTAAACATTCAGTAAATGCATAAACTTAAAGCTTACAGTTTTAAGTAAAAAAACCTGTGTATTTAGAACAGACATTAAAGCCATATTCTCAGATATACCTTTAATATTCGACAGAACATGCTGCCATTCTTAACTAAGATCAAATGCACAAATTCAATTGCAAGACTATATTAATTTATAATGAATAAAACATTTTTTTTTCTTTTATTAGTTCTAATAGTTAATTCTGGAAGCAAGCCTAAAAAAAATAAATTTCTCTCTAGCTTATTGCTTATGTAACAGGAATTTAGCACAAAACTCTGCTGTAAGTTCCCACAACAGACTGTCTTGTTCACCAGAAATGGATGTCTGCTTTCCAATGAAGAATCAAAGACAATACATAAAGAAGTTGTAACTTACTTTCCCTCTGTACTTCTCCAAGGAAATGATTCTTCCCCGCGAATCCTTGATTTCAAAAGAATAAAAATCTTTAGTTTTAGGTTTAAAAAATCTGAGTTGCAGTAGGCAGAGGACTGCCGTGCAAAAAACCATTGACAAAAAAACAACAAAGACTCTAGCTTTAGGCACTGAATATTTCAGAGGATAGGCGGTTGCGAGAGGCTCCATTTTTGAAAAGATCAGAGCCAACGCAGGCCTGGAATGTGAAGGAGGAGCTGAAACATGAAACTCGCAACTCAGACTAGAAAGGACAAGCTGCTCATTTTGACACAGTTTCAGAAGCAGCCGTTTCACTTCAGGATGCCGCTGCTCGCCTTTAGAGTGCTTGGTAAAGTATGGAAATGCCCCCTGCTAGGAAAAAATAAATAAATAAAAAGCATGTTGCCATCACCTAAGGATGCTGATTGCTCTGTTTGGCCAGCTTTTTGTGGAGCACTGTATCAGCTTGCACACTGCCCTGAGGAATTGCCCTGGATCCTTGTTTTGTGTCTGTAATGCAGCTCTGGCACCCCTTAAGCACCTCAGGTGTCCCTGGCACAGCTGCTCAGTGAGACAGGCCTGAGTTTGAGCAGTCTGGGGCCAGCTGTGTATGTAAGGCAGGTAGAACTGCAGATAAAACTTTGGGTTTGAGTGCGTCTGTTGCTTTTCAGTGGCTTTGATACCACCTCAACTTCACTTGATTTGTACAATATCATAATGATATGTTGAATAATTTCTATCATGTTCTCTAAATAGATAAGCTGCATGTTTCTTGAACAGGAGTCTACAGAGAGTTTCATACTGTTCTGTTGAGAGATAATGTTACTATAATTCAGTACCTATATGGATGTTTCTTGTGTCCTGGGGATATGTGAGGCTTGGAGTCAGCCTGGCCATGAGCCTTCAGTGCATGGTGTTTTAACATAAGTGACAATGCCAGCTTTAAAAGCAAATTTGAATGTGCTTGATTTCAGAAATGGAAAATGCAACAGGCAGGATGCTGGTGCTTATGTCTTGAAAGCTTGTAATTTTCAATGAACATTATATCAAAAATATATGCTGAAATATCTAACAATGATTAAGAATCCTATTATACTTGCTGTTCTTCCTTACTGTTCTTGATACTTTCACTCTTTGCTCTAAAATGTTGCTTTAAAACTGTCTGAAAAGCAAAATCTGGTGTTCAGTGTTATCTATGCTCTCACAATTTAAATTTTGGTACATTTTTTAAAATTTGAGTTTCTCTGATGCACTTGTTTAGGAGTTGTCTTTTTGAATGGATTTAAAAGTAAGAAATGTTAATCTGTTATTTGATCTTGTTTTAGTATTCGTAAATATGTTAAGTGCGGTGTTGAAAATAATAACTTGAGCAAGGCATCCTGCTGGTGAGAAAATTCTGAAGTCATAAATGAAATAAATCTTTCTTTGGGCAAAGATAGAAAGCCAGCCTGGTTCCAAACAGCCAACATGTAGTTTTGTCTGAGTGTTTTTATCACAGGAGTAACCAGCCCAGGACCTCAAACTAAATGTCTGAAAGGTCAGGTCTTTCATAGGCCACTATTGTATCCTAGAATGTGAGTGACACAAATTTGGCTTTCTTCTCTTATGCGTGATCATGGCAAAAAGTGCACGTTCATTTTTTATCTATACACCAATAAGAACTAGTTACACCATATCCTCATCATGCCCTTGTCTTACTGCTCTTCAGGCTTCCCACTTTTACCTGAAATTTTGCCTTCCTTAGTTTAGGTTTTTGTCACTTGCCTTGACCTGATATTGTTAATTCATTCAGGAGTGTTTACCTGACTAGCAGAATTTTTCATTTCATATCTATATACGTATTTTCTTTTTTCTTCCCTTCCCCCCCCCTCCCCTCACTTTCTATGTGCTGCTTCCCTTCTGACACTTAAATCCCTAAAGTTGTTAACTTCTCTTCTTATTTGAATATTTCTTTATGGAACGGTAAATATCCTGTTGATCAAAATACATGGCAGTAGTAGCCCTCCTAGCTTTGAGCAACTCCTGTGCAGTGAGGGTAGCTGCTGCTTCTGTGTGAGCTGGGAACGGTAAACCCCACTGATCACTGTGTCAGGAGTCATCTTCCTTAATTCTTCACGAGCTGAACCTGTTTACATGCAAGTAATTGAGTTTATGGGCTGTCCAGGCAGCTGGTGGAGTCACCGTTCCTAGAGATGTTCAAGAATCACATAGATGTGGGAGACATGGTCTGTGAGCATGATGGGGATGGGTTCATGATTGGAATTGATGATCTTAGAGGTCTTTTCCAGCCTTAATGATTCCATGATTCTATGACTCTTGTGAAAAGTTGCTCTCCTGAACTCTGATTACTTTATACTTGATATTTCTCTTAACCTAGAGATCAGTAGGACATTTTAATTTAGTGACTGTGAATCTCTATCAGCTCCAGTTTTGGTGGGACTCCTGCGGCTAGCTGTGGGCAGTGAACGCCCTGTTCGTCACAGTGCGCTCCAGCCCTGCAGCCACAGGAGCTGTGTGGAGCAGGATACCAGCTGCCCCAGTCCATGTGCAGAGCTCTGGAGGCTGTCCTCACCCTGCAGAGTTTTAGCCAGGCAGGAGTCTACATTCAAGTGTTGTTCCGGGTGTCCTCAGGCCAAGGTCCATTTCCATGGCTTGCTTGTTCTGAGAGAGACTGAACTCATGAAGACTTGAGATAGTGTGAAAGGACAGAACAACATTCTCTGATGACGGGTTTTGGTGTTTTGCCTCCCTTTGCTCGTGCAGGCCCTGGGTTCAGACGGGACCACGTACTCCGGGTTTGAGAGCTCCATCAAGAGGAAGCTGACGGCCAGGGTTCCGGTGGCGAGTAGCCCTGTTGTCACAAGGTGGCAGCAGCGACATGCGGGAGGCCTCACAGCAGAGCCGCGCCGGGCTCGCAGCGCAGGCCTTTGTGCCCTCCGGGGCGCCCGGCTCGTCAGCACGCGCGGGAGAACTGCAGGTGGGGCAGGAGACAGGGCGGCATCGTGAAGGGACTGCTGAAATCAGCAGGAGCAGGCAGTTAGCGCAAGGTGTGCCGCTGTGCTTCCCATGTCCTAGTGGACAAGGGCTCCGGCTGCTGCAGTGGCAGTCTGTGCAGGCAATGAGATCAGAGGCAGCTTTCCTCTAGCGGGATTACACTGCTGACATGATAAGAGAGCCAGGCCCAAGGTTCTGGCTACTACTGCACAGGCAGACAGGACAGCAGGCCATACATCTGGTTGACATCAAATGTGGCAGTTAAAAGACAAGCCTAAACCTCTTTTTTAAGCAAGTAATTTCTGTTGCAGGCGAACTTTTTTTTGCATCTGCAATAGAATCTCTTTTGTTGTTGCGCTTTTGCTTATGGAGTAGCTAACAATAACTGACAGGACAGAAAGAATTCTTGCAGAAGACCTCTCCCTTCTGCGTGTCCTTTCCACTGCACATGGATACCACTGACCTGGCCGTAACTGCAGAACTTTGACCAGTCTGCGTGCCTGGACATGTTGTAGTGCACACTTACAGACAGCACACTGGTAGAGAAGCCTGCCCTATGTTATTCTCCCCTCTGATGCCTCAGGCTTTAGGTATTGATAAAAGTCCTGTCTGCCAAGGAGCACTCGCCTGCAGTTCATCTTAGGGAGAGGCTTGTCTGAATGCCGTTCAGAACACTGCTTAAACTTTCGGGACTTTGACATGGTCTGAAGAACTGATTCTGGAGGAGGTTATTTTTCTCCATCCACAACAGAGGGAGGCTGAGGAAAGAGTAAAAGTTTAACCTTTAAACAAGCTCACTCCTACTTCAGTAGTGGTAAGGAAAGGTGGAGAATGGTTTACACACTGCATATACAAGAAGAGCTTCCTGGAATAATGAGGGAAATAAACAAAGCACATTCCTTGATTAATAATGGAAATATTTAGACAGCAAATAAAAGATATTCTTTAGCATTCCTGATGTGTTCCCATGAGGCTATGACTATGACTGTTGGAGACAAACTGAAATTCTGTCTTCTGCAGAGCAGAATACTCTTCAGCAGTGTGGACATAAGGCATGCCCAGCTGTTGGAAAATCAGGCTCTTAAGCAAACTCAGTTATACATTATCTCAGTTTGTAGAACAGAAAGTCCTGGATGTTGTTGCCACCAGCACTGGTGAAAACCAGTATGACTTGGATTTTATGTGAGGTAGGATCCTCTGTAGCCAGTGAATTGATATGAGCTACAGAAATAAATGTAGCCTGTTTATAAAGTGAGTGAGCAGTATGACATTTTTCAGACATCTACTTTAAGATGAGATGAATAGCATAAGTGTCTGTTTCATTTCTCTAACAATAAAGGGAAAACAGAGAGACCAGTTCAAATGTCAGTGTTTGTATTGTCCCATTTAGTATGTCAGATAAGCTTTTAATAAGTAATGTGCTGAAAAGTACTTGACTTGAAATAATTCTCTGTAAATTAAAAAAAATATCTTTAGTTTTTATTATATATATAATGTATATATATATAAATTATATATTTATACTATTAAAATTGTTTGTTTGTTTTCAGTGATGGATAAGATGCTTAAGAAACCCTCCATCATGAAAAGTGCTGTGACTCTGTCTAGCAGGCACACTGCAGCAGGCTTGGAAAGGAGAAACGACAGGAAAACTGAACTACAAAAAAAGCAGGTGAGTAAATGCTTATAGAATATTTGCTGATGTGTTTTATTACCTCATCTTTTGTGCAGATGCTACCATATTTACATTGAGAACAATAACAAGAAGAGATCAGTTTAGGAAATGTCCACTAGAAAAATGTCAGGAACAATTGCTGTATCATTAACTTTATTTAGTGTATTTCTCTTTCTGAGTAAAACTAAATTGAAGGGCGATGAATGACTCAGTTTTTCATGTGATTCAAAACCACAGTGAAGATCATTTTGTCAGTCGCACAGGATGTAGTACATTTTGTCACGTAGACAGAATGGGCTACTGTAAAAATTTTGCCAAAAAGTAGCTGTGAATAAAGTTTTTCGTCATGACTAGAAGCTAAAAGGTAAGTAGTTATGTTTAACAGTTGTTGGTAGAGGACAGAAGAACGCATGGAATCTACTATGTGAAATAAAGGCTTCAGATCTCCTCCCACTCTGGTGCTGTTTTTTATTGCTGAACACTTTACCCTTCATTTTTACTAGTGGCCACTGACACAAAATTTCGTTTCTCTTTAGGCTTTGTTTATTTCCTTTTAGTCATCTTAAATAAACCCACTCATTTTTGTTAACTTACTGAAAACTGACTTCTCATATGAATCACGGTGATACTTATCTGTGTTAATAAAAGTTATTACCATTACATATACTGAAAGCAAGGTCAATATTTTCATGCTACCTGATTGTGACTATTGTATATATTAAGTTATAAACTTGTAGTCACTGACCTGCATTCCCTTTCCTGGACTACACCAATTACAAGGTCATAGATACCTATTTTCAAGAGGTGACTTTTTTGAGAGTAACTCCTGAGTGAGGAAACTTGATAGCTGCACACCTAATGTTGTTGCTTGTACTGGTTTACAATTCTTAATTGTTGAGAAATTCCCATGAGAGTGTCAAAATAAACTTCAAAGAAAAAGAGGTAATGTCAAGATAGCTGGACTAGAAGTCTGGTTGGTTGTTTCTTTTAATACTTGTACTTTTGAAGACCACTGAATGTTGCAAAACAACCTATGCATTTACAACATCTTGAGAAACCCAGTTTTCATGACAATGACTTTCCTTTCTAAGTAAGCAAATTATTCTGGAAAAATCACATGTCAAGAAAAGTTCTTTCCAGCCTTTTCACCCACCGTGATCTTACTGGAGAGTGTGCATTTTAAGATTGTTGAAAAGGGGCCTAGTAATCTTAGTTGTATATACCCCACAGAGAAATTAAAGAAAACCTTTTTGTGAGATAAGTATGAAGTAGCATTGGTAAAACGTACTTTTTTTGCTTCAGTTTTTATGTGATATTAAAGGTGATTGCAGTGACTTTACTAATGTCAGTGTTAGTCCTTCATATCTCATTCTCTTATTCAGAGTTCTACACCAAGGACCATAACAACTTCCTGTAAGTTTGTTGTGCGGGTCTTTGAAATAACATTGTGGGATAAAATCTTCTCACATTCCAGTGAATGTATGTGGTCTTCTTGTGAGACAAAAGATTGCTTCCTTGTACATACAGTAGGTTTTCCATAGAAATATCTGCACTTATTTTAGAGGCACAGATGCAAGCAATCAGATTAGCTTTCTGCCAAATTGTCTGTATAAATCATTCAGAAAGTTCCTCTCAAAGCTGACGGCTTGCTATAGAACAGCTCTGATATTTGAAAAAGAAGAACTTTTTTCTGGTTGTTTTTGCAAGACATTTCTTATCATGATTACAACAGGGTTTTGAGGAAGAATAAAAGTGAATGTGTTTGGAAAGATAGATTTCAGAAAAAATTTAAAAAAGAACATACTAAATGGCTGGTGAAAACATCAGTAACATTTCCACCTGGCTGTAAATAAGGAGTTAAGGACCAAACAGACAACAAGCTTGAGAGCATTCATCTCAGTGAAAAAAACCAATAACATTATGAAGAAGTGCGCATTATTAAGGATTATATATACATACATATACATATAGTCTTACCTGATGATCTCAGCCTTACCTGAATTTGTCTGAAGACTTAACATAATTTTTTTGAAGAAGGAAAAAATTCCAATAACAATTAAGGTTTCCCTGTACTTTTCTTCTGCATCATCTGTTTCTTTGACCCCTGGGTAGAGGTTTATATAACAAAAAATTCTTAGTTCTCTGAGACACTTTGCTTACATTTTTAGCACCTGTGGATTCAAAATGTGGTACTGGTTTAACAAATAGGATCATGGAGTCCAGACATTTGGACTTTAGCCAGGGTGAGGACTACAGTAGGTTTCATGCTGAATCAATTACTCTGCAGTATATGCACCACAGAACTGATCAGACCTAAGGCATTAGATACATTGTCTGCATGCAAAGAAACTTGGTGTTGTGTGCTAACAAAATTAGCCTGAATGCCAATTCAAAGGAGGGCAAGAAGACACTAAAACTCAGTGAGTAACACATAGAGGCCTAAAATATCTTCCAATAGTAAGATGACCTTGTTCAGACAGCTTTGTTAAAATGTTTATGATCATTAGCAGTGAATTGGTATTTTATGGAAGGGAAGATCATTACTGTAGATGGAACATACGATTTGGACATTGATATTCTGTATCTTTTGCTGAATTCCTACCCAGGAGTCCAGGTGTTTTAAAACTTAAGAAAGTTCAATACTTCAAAGGTAGTTACGCTAACCATGGTACTTAAATATGTTCTTGACAGATTTCTTCATTCATATTTTCACTTCTATGCATAGACAGAAATGTACTACTCAGCTTCTAATGGTCCAAGAAACTGGATATAGCATGGCAGAAAGTGACATGAAGGTCTGTGAAAAAGCCAGTTGCATCTGGAAAGGTATGTTCCACTGTAGCAAATACCCCATGTACAATGAATGATAAGATAGAACAGGCTGCGTCTACACTGAGAAAATCACCAGTTCCCACAAATGTTACAGAATAGTGCAAGGTGGCTGAGATGTGTATACTGCTTGGATCCACTTGCCCTGCAGTTCCCATAGCCTCTGATGATACGGATCTCCACCTCTTCCATTGTGGTTAAATGCTTTATCTATCACCTGGCTTGCCTTTTGGCCCCATCAGACACATTGGTGGCCCTAAAAACAATTTCCCTTTGGCTTTCCAGTTTCAGATGTGTGAAATAATGTAGGTTTTTGCTGCAGACTGGGCCCAGGGTATCTATTAAATGGTGTGTTGGGTACATGAGAGAGCAAGACATGCAAACCTGATGGGATCTTGCCACACCTGCCTGTAAGGAAAGGTAGGTGGTACAAACTATCCCTTGCTCTAGTCACGATTTCATCTAACTGGGAGCTGATTGATCTCCTCTAAAAATATGAGAATGAGTGAGCATATAGAGACTGTGAACGAGTGAACTATAAGCCAACTGGGATGCGAGGAGCTGATCTGTAAAATAACACAGATATTACAGTTTTTTTTTAATATGAGGTTGTTCATTAGGCATCAGGCCAATATTTTGTTATGTTCTGTCTTAGGTCATTTTTTTCTGTGGTCTGGCTATTTCTGTATGTGCTGAATTCTTAACCAGTCAGGACCTGATTCATGCTCATGTAAGGACAGTGAGAAACAACCTCTATATGAGCCTGAAGTTCAGCTCCTGTGGAAGAAGTTGTGAAGTATGTGATAGACTGGTATATATTTGTTACTGTACAAATAAAGCTTAATTCAGAGCCTTCAGAAGCATCAGTATAGGGATTAGTCATAGTATGTTTTTCCTGATGGCAAATGAATACATGTATCAGGTATACTGGGTTTTATTCCACCCACCTACCTGTTCACTGAGTGGTCTTGTGTTACAATACTACTTACCACTTCTCGAGACTTATTTTGAGAACTGACACAGGCACGTGAAAATCAAAATTCTTTCAAAAGCCAGTGATAATCTTCCAGTACTCAGGTAAAATAACACAAAATGAGATAATGAAGCTTAATTTCCACTGATAAAAAAATTCTATAAAGCACATTCGTGTGTCCACAAAGTATGTGAATAGAGCTGCAAGCGTGATTTCTATGAATTTGAAGTGAATTATGCATGAGAAGAGAAAAATGAAATAAGTTATACAGATAATTTCATCCTTTCTCGGTGCTTAACCCCAGCTATCAGTATTAGAGATCATTCTCACAGTATCTCAAAAGTGTTGTCGTTCTCCGGCTGTTGTAACTAAGTGCTTCAGTTTTCTTAAACCGTTGTACTTGGCTGGGTTTGGAAGTGGTTGATAATATCAAAAACAAGACAAAACAAAACAAAAAAGTAGATGTTTAAAATACATATTTTTCTGTACACCCTAATCACAGTTCAGTGGTATTAAACCTTTTTTATGGTTAGAATGGATTGTTACATGTTGTATTGGGCAGGTAAGGTCTTACAACCAACCATTCCTGCAAGTCTTGATTTTTTTAATTCCACAAACTTTTAGAAGAAAATCGCTGTGGCCCTTCTCTTGCCCATCTTCTGCTTTTATTTGTATAGAGGATTTGACTGATTTGCTCTGTATTATGTGCATACCACTGATATTTCTGGTGCACTGACCCCAAAGCACCTGGGGCAACATTGGGACAGTGGAGAGGCACCTCTCATAAGAAGACACCGCCACTGTAGTAAAGCCCTCGGGCGGCACTTCTGGCTCATTCATGGAAGCTCCTTCCCATACGCATGGGCACTACATCCCTGATGGATGTGCTCTAGGTCTGAGCTGCATCCCAGTGAGATGCACCACATCACTGCTGGTCCCAGGTGCTCAGTGGGCAAGAGGCAGCATCTCAGAAGCTGATCAGGGTCATACTCTAGTACATTGATGGAAGACTGAAGGCCTTGGCCTTGCTTTTATTGGTTGGTCTTGATGGTCTGAGAGACCTTTTCCAATCTTGATGATTTTATTATTCTATGATTCTATGACAGATACCACAGCTGAAAGGAGAAACAATTGTTTTTTGACAGAAATTCATTTTTGGCTGGGGGACAAGACTGAGATTGAAATAAGTATGAGATAAAGTTCTCCACAATTTGTAATTGATAAGGCTTCTGTATAAGATTATAATGTGTGTATTTATATTACAGAGTGCAAAAATTTTGTCAGTGTTGATTTTTACTAACAGAAAGAGTGGTTGTTGAATTGGATAATGTCTTCTGCCTGTGAAGTTTTGGCGTTCATTCTAAGTGCTCTTCTCTAGGGAATATTTCAAAAATGAAGTCAAAACATGAAGAGAAATATAGAAATATTAGTTTCCAGATCTCCATGCTGCATATTACAGCTAGATAAAAATGTAGCTTTAAATGATTAATGGTGATAATGATCTTTTTTTTACTATGATGCTTAGCAGTTGTTGCAGAATCACGTAGACAATGACCACAAAGGCTGACTGTTCTGCTTGCTCATACTTGAAACTTACTGTTACTGCTTTGTTTCTGAAGTTTGTGTGGTCACAAGCTTAGAATGCTGTCATCAAAGTGGGTTTAAAAACCTTTTCCTGTGCTAGGTATTCAAAGAGGAGACTGTTGAAGAGAAATTAACACCAGAAAGCAAAAAGGTCAATTGCTGCATGAGGGTTTTGAGGTGGGAGAGCCCATATGAACTGCTACTGGCAACTTCTCACAAAAGCTAACCAGACAAAGACATGAAATGTATTTTGTAATGAACTGTGATGCAATTTAAACAAAACACAGCAAACTCTATTCTCCACTGTAGCTGAGTGCATCCGTGGAGATATGATAGAGCTATTAAAAGGAAGATTTCACTTACTTTTCTGTGGGGTGTTTTGGCCTAACCAGGAGGAGTTAGACCCATCTAGACATCTGTGGTTCACAGACAAAGACTAACATAGTGACTGTGAAAGGCTTTGGTGTTTTGCATGACTGAACTGTGTGTGATGACTCTTCAAATGCAGGATGCCAAGAAGAGATGCAGAATGAGTTCAGAGCTGTTACCATCATGAAGCCATCAGTGACATTGGAGCCAGAACTGAGGCTTCATATTACTGGTTTGCATGATGATTACTGTAAGTTATTTTCTTATGACTGAGGCTTCTGCAGAGATTGAGAACACTTATATATATTTCAAGAAAGATGGCAAGGGTGTTTCCCCTTCAGATCAAATGGGAATTCTCCAATACTTATGCATGATGTCATTTTTCTTAGACATTTGCAGCTTGAAAATGAAAACTGCCTGTCGCAGAATGTAGAGATCACTGATCAAACCCTAGAATCATTATCACCTAGGTCTCGTGCAACTTTTTTCAGCAATAGGTCTCAATTCACATTTAAAATCAGACCAGTGAACATACCTCCATGCTAAGGACATTTCAGCTGTTAGCAGTCTGTAAACACAGCAACTTTATGTAACAGACTTTGAAATCTCTAGTTATGGGAGAAACCAGTGATTTGTTTATGGTTTAGATGATAGATATCTTCTGAACTAAATTTTCACCTACATTTTTCGTGGTAAAATTAAACATGCACAGAAAAATGCATGGTTTTCTGTTCTACGTTGTCAAATATATGAAAGCACTTCTGAAACCATAACAATTCTATAGTTGAAAGTGTTAGAAATTGTTCCTGTTTTTCGTTTTTTTTTTTTGTTTTTTTTCCTTTTTCTTTTTTTTTTTTTTCCCTAAGGTATTCTTCTTGATGCATTACATTCTTTAGATGTAAATCTATGAGCAAGCCAAAAGTTTGTTTGCATCCAGATTGAGTCTGGATTTCTATATGAGTGATTTTTCATGATTATGCACAAGGTGTATCCACAAAACAATAGCATTAGTAGAATTCTTTGGAAGTTATTTTTAGTGCATATTTCTGACTGTAGGAATCAGGACTCTAATCAAACAGCTGACTGAAAGATTAAGCTGTTCTTCAGAGTGATTTTAGTTACTGAAGCACAGCATCAGACCTTGTCCTATGCTAACTATTTTCTTCAGGGATCATTTAAAATGACTTTTAAGCTGTCATAAATGCAACAGCTGATGATTCGCATTGACATCAGAGTGTGTACTGTTATTCTGTGTCACAATTAGATGTTGCATAACAACTCTTTCTGGCCTGTACTTTCTACCTGACACAGCAGGCTGTTCTGAGGCTAACTGGTGTAATGACTTCCTTTGCCAGGGTCTGTAGTGCACCTAACATAAGTGGAAACAGTATTTCTTGCATTTGCTTACTGAGCAAACTTTGTGGGAGAGGTGCAGAATTTCCCTGAATCCTTTCTGCATTTTTCTTCTGTTACATGGAGAGTAAATGTTAGTACTAGCTCAAGGAAGAACTGTAGCATATAGACTTTCTCCTATGTCTTTACCAATAACATGAATTATTTTGGAACAAGAATGTTTTTGCAATTCTAGCTGGTACTGGAGAACACTTATTTCTGGTGACAGAAATTTGAGTGATGCAGCCATCCAAAATGATGGATGATAGGTGTAAAAACATTTAGTGAGGAATCTGTAAGTCATATTCTTCTGTATAAATATACAGATTTGTGGTAGTTAACCTAATGAAGATCTTTTCTTGTTAGAAATACTCACCTTCATTTAGTTCTCATTTATGTCCTAGTTGAATATGAGCTCATAATGGCTTCATTGAAGCAATGCTATGAGTTTTTCCTGTAGCTATTAAAAGAAAGCCTCTGCCCAGCCATAACCCCTCCAACCCCAGCTTATTACCTCTAACCTTCTTGCAGTAATTTTTAGAAGCTTTTTTCTAGATCTAAACATACTGGACTGGAACCTTGAAAATCTCATTGCTGTTGCTCTGGGATCTGCTGCATATATTTGGAATGGAAGAACTCTTCAAGGCATTGAAAGCATTGGTTTAAATTCGAGTTCCAAATACATTTCATCTCTAGCTTGGATAAAAGAGGGAACTTGCCTTGCTGTTGGCACTAGTGATGGAGAAGTGCAAGTACTTAATATTTTACTTTTTTGTCTTTCTCAGTTTTTAGCTGAAGTGTCCATTAGACAATCTTCTTTGCTTAATGAAGCAAAACAAGAAAGTTGGCTAAAATACAGAAAAACTCTTCTGTAGATGGTGTATAACAATTACATCGTCCCTCATGTTACAGAATAACTGCACAGAGGGACTCAGATTTTCTTTTCATCAGTAATTGGAACTCTTTAATTATTTTTCTCAGCAAAGGCCAGTCTTGTATCTCTCTTGCTAAGATCACTCTAGTAGAGACAGATACTTTTAGAACTTCAGCAAAAATTGTACTCATAGATTCACATCCCTGAATTTCACTTCAGATTATACACATAAAACTCTGTCTGCTGTTGTAGCACAGTCCTGTTTTGAAAGGTCTTTGTTGGATGTTGGCTGTGATACTGAATAATGTGGGGATCTATCTGGTAGAGTTCTGATTCAGCACGCCAGTGCTTTCATACACAGGCTTCCAAATACTGGTGTATAAATAGCTTTAAATTTAGAAATGCACATTCTCTTAAAATAAAATAAAGTGAAATATTGTGTGAAAAAAATAGTGTGAAATGAATGAGCTTGAAGTTGTCTGTATGTCATATCAGAACTGAATAGTGTTTACCTGCAAACAAATGAAGAAAACAAAGACATTTCTCTCTCTCCCTCTCTCTCTCTGTCTCTTTTTCTGTTAAATTTGCATTTGTTCTGTGTGTTTGTTTTGTATTGGCAGCTGTGGGACATTGAAAGGAAAAGGAGGTTGAGAAATATGTTTGGCCACCTGTCTGTAGTTGGAGCTCTGAGCTGGAATCATTATATTCTGAGCAGGTGAGTGCTATAGTCTATTCACAGAAAGAATCCTGATGCTTTCATCTAGATAGGCATCCCAATTATTTGATTCGTTTTTGTTGGTTTTGGTTGAAAATGCTTTATTCTTTACCAGCCACCACAGAAACAATATGTAAGTATTCTTTATGTCAGGAAAGCAACCAAATGGAATTTAACCTGCCTCTTTAGTCTCTGTTTTTACTGTTCTTAAGAAATCCGCCACCGCTTCTAGAATTTCTGTAAGATGTGGAGCACATGGTTGTGGTTTTTTTTCGGAATATTTGAGCATTAATTGATATTATCTGCAGTGGGTCCAGATTTCAAAAAAGATACCTTACTCAGTGCAAGGGAGAGGACATGTAGCTTAGGCTGCCCTTCCACTGACTTTTCAGATGCATGGCAAAGCACGGTTGTTAGAGTTACACTCTTCTCTAGCTGTGTATCTGTGAGGAAAGGCCAGTTCAGTGCTAGCCAGAACCTGAACCCTATTTTGAGGAAGGATCAAAATTGTTGCCTTTTGCCCTGCCAAGTTGAATATTTTATATTTGGGCATCATTTCAATATGCAGACTCATGAGAAGGATAAAGCATCCAATTTTGTGTTTTATTCATTTTTTCTCTCAGTTTCTAGTTCAGATCTTTGTCTTAGGCTTGAAGAATGCGAGGGAAAACTTGATTATAAAGGATGTTTCTCCTATTTTAAAATAATGTGATAGTCTTCTGTTTTACTTAAACAGAAATTATACCCAGCATTCACTGATTATATTGTTAATCTCAAAATGAAAGTTGTTATCTCCTGATGAGATCACCAGAGGTAGTTTTGTTTCACAAGATGTTGTGGCTTTTGATTCTGTTGGATCTGCTAGGCAGAGTAAGATGCAACATTACCAACTGATCAACAGTTAATAAAATGCTTTGGCTTTTGCAGAATGTTTGTGAATTACGTTACAAATACACATCTTCAGCGTCTGCTTGGCATAACCTTATCACAGTCAGTATTAGTTTCAGTTTGCATTTCAGCTTAGCCAAAGAAGTGAAAGCAATAAAAACTTACATTACAAATCTTTCTGAATAGAAATTGATTCTAAAATTCAACATGAAACTGTGAACTACACTTCTTGTTGATAGATTAAGTTCAGATGACATTTATTTCTCTTTCTAGGTTTGATATTAGCCAATTACTTACTACACAGTTAAACTACCTGTATAATCAGAAAAAAATAGAGTTAATATTCATTGCTACTAAAATAAAATCAGCATTTTTACAGGAAACTTCACTATAAGTTGGTACTTTGATACTTTGGAATAGCATACTAATTCCTGTAGTTAAAAATAGACTGATGACAAAACCTCAAGGATATCCAAATACATTTCAGTACAGCAGATTAATTTGTCCTAATTAATTGGTTCTATTTGTATTTAGCAAAATAGATGCAATATTTTGTGTCAAAAGAAAATAATATTGACTTCACAGAATCACAGAATTGTAGGGGTTGGAAGGGACCTCCAGAGATCATCGAGTCCAACCCCCTGCCAAAGCAGGTTCCCTACAGCAGGTCGCACAGGTAGGCATCCAGGCAGGTCTTGAACATCTCCAGAGAAGGAGACTCCACCACCTCCCTGGGCAGCCTGTTCCAGTGCTCCGTCACCTCACTATAAAGAAGTTCTTGCGCACATTTGTGCAGAACTTCCTATGCTGCAGCTTATGTCCATTTCCCCTTGTCCTGTCTCCAGAACAGAAAAGAGTCTGACCTCGCCATTCTGCCCCCCACACCGTAGATACTTACAGACCTGGATCAGGTCCCCTCTCAGTCTTCTTTTCTCAAGGCTGAACAGACCCAGTTCACTCAGCCTTTCTCCATAGGAGAGATGCTCCAGGCCCTTCACCATCTTTGTGGCCCTCCGCTGGACTCTTTCCAAGAGATCCCTGTCTTTTTTGTACTGGGGAGCCCAGAACTGGACACAGTACTCCAGATGAGGACTTAGCAGGGCAGAGTAGAGGGGGAGGATCACCTCCCTCAACCTGCTGGCCATACTCTTCTTAATTTAGCAAAAAAACCCATTTCTTTTCAAAGAATATTCTCTGGAGCCAAGGCCTCTCACACTTATTCAGTCATTGAAAATCTCTTCATGTGTAACACTGGCAATTCAGTCCATTTCTGTTGGTTAGATTTTCTGCTTATTATTTTGGAGGAGGTCTGCATCGTTTTTCAGAAAGCGAAGCCTCTGCGTATAATGACATAATGTCGTGTATCTTCCTAGTTATTTTCCATAAAGACGTGCTTAATATTCACTGGTGAAGTGCTTGGTTGGAATTTTACTAATTTTTTGTGGCCTTCAAGAGTTTGAGAAGTCCATAATTCAAGCACATCGAATGACATTTCCTGCAATCAGTCACTTAATGTAAGTGTTTATAGATTTTCCAAATTAGTCAACTTGTATCTGAAGATTCTTTAAGAGTCTGTGTGTCTCCAATCAACATAGCCTTACATAAATCTGTTGCAGTAATGTGAGATACTTGTTTCTCAGTTATTCAGATACCCTAATACAAGCTGGGGGATGTGAAGATGAAGCACAGCCCTGCCAGAAAGGTCTTAGGAGTACTAGTGGATGGCAAGCTGGAGATGAGCCAGCAATGTGCCCCTGCAGCTCAGAAAGCCAACCTTATTCTGGGCTGCATTGATAGAAGGGTAGCCAGCAGGGCAAGGGGGTTGAACCTTGCCATCTGCTCTGCAGGAGAGAGACCACATGTGGAGTACTGCATCCAGATATGGAGTCCTCAGTACAGGAGAGACATAGTCACTCCGTAGTTGTAGTGTGTCCAGAGGTGGGCATACAAAAAAATGATCCATGGGATGACACATCTCCTCTGTGAGTACAGGCTGAGATATCTGGGGTTGTTTAACCTGGAGAAGAGAAACCCTGGGGAGACCTGATTGATAGTGCCTTTCGGTATCTAAACAAAGTTGTAAGAAAGACACTTCAAAATTGTCTGTTTTTAATGGACAAGGGAAAATGGTATCAAACTGAAAAAGGGAAGATTTAGATTGGATATGAGAGATTATTAAATTTTTTACAATAAGGATGGTGAGGCACTGGAACAGTGTTCAAACAGATGGTGGATGCCTCATCCTTGGAGACATTCGAGGTCAATCTAGACCAGTCTCTGAGCAACCTCATCTAGTTGTAGGTATCCCTGTTCATTGCAGGGGAGATGGACTGGAAGACCTTTAAAGATCCCTTCCAACTCTAAGGATTCTATGATTTTATGATTCTGTGAGAATATGTATAGAGGTTGATTATCTCAGTGCCATAAGAATAGATGGAACACTCGATTTCCAGTGCGTGTCATGGTGTCCAGGAGATCAAGCACAGCTAGCACAGGTTCATGAAAGGCATGCCATGCTTGACCAACCTCATCTCCTTCTACGACTGGGTGACCAGACTGGTAGACGAGGGACAGACTGTTGTCTACTTAGACTTCAGCAAAGCCTTTGACATGGTTTCTCACAGGATTCTCCTGGGGAAACTGGCTGCCCGTGGCCTGCACAGGTATAGCCTTCCTTGGGTGAGAAAGTGGCCAGAGGGCTGTGCCCAGAGGGTAGTTAGTGGTGAATGGAGGTAAGTCCAGCTGGCGACCTCTTACAAGTGGTGTCCCCCAGGGGTCGGTACTGGGGCCCATCTTGTTTAATATCTTTATTGATGACCTAGAAGAGGAGATTGAGTGTACCCTCAGTAAGTTTGCAGATTACACCAAGCTGGGAGGTGGTGTTGATCTGTGTGAGGGTAGGGCAGCCCTTCAGAGGGATCTGGATAAGCTGGATCGCTGGGCTGAGGTGAATGGGATGAGGTTCAACAAGGCCAAGTGCCATGTCCTGCACTTTGGGCCACAACAACCCCATGCAGCGTTATAGGCTTGGGGATGAGTGGCTGGATGAGTGTGAAGAGGAAAGGAACCTGGGGGTGTTGGTTGATGCTCGGCTGAACGTGAGCCGACAGTGT